GAGGAGAGTGAGGGGGAGGGAGGGGGAGAGAGAGAGAGAGAGAGAGAGAGAGAGAGTTTCAAAGTGTCCAACAGACAGATTTGTTTTCAACTTTTACCATCAAAACATGTATTCTGGTTTTTTTGGTTTAAAAAGTGATTGTCATTTAAATACCTGATATTCCCAATGTTATTTTAAATGGATGAGAAATAGGTAGGTACCTCCTATGTGGGAAGCTACAGACTATGTGGGGACTGCAGCAGCATCAGGCCATTCCAGCTTGTAGCAGAGTTCAGGAATATATGCTTTCCTCATTGCTTCATTTACTGGTATGAACCATTTCAAAGCATTTACTGATGCTGTTGCATTTGTTACACATGCATTGAATTACTCTTTTAGGACTTCTAAGAGATAGCAGACACCTTGTGAACTCATTACATCATAGTGATAGGCAACATCCTTCATTTTGTCTGGTAACTGGGGTAACAGGAATCTACCCTTTCACCAAAGTGTACTGGTGTGGTCATCATAGTGACTCAACATGGGTTTGAATCTGGGTTTTTCCCTCTTTCCAAATGCCCCGAAAATAGAGTCTTTGGATACATGGTTCATCTTCTGGAGTCTCAGTTTCTGTTGACAATCAACCATCTGCTCAGATATGAGGATTGGGTTTTTTTTTTTTTTTAACATTTCACACTTTTTAAGCTCTCAGCTAAATAAGGACTATGGACATGCAAGATGTATTTTATTTTCTTTACATTAGTGTGTGTGTGTGTGTGTGTGTGTGTGTGTGTGTGTGTGTGTGTGTGTGTGTGTGCACATAGACACATGTGCCATAACATGTATGTGGAGGTTGGAAAACAATAAATAAGAGTTACTTCTCTTTTTCCATCTTTACCTGGGTTCTGGGCATTGAACAGAGGTTGCCTGGCTTATACAGCAAGAATCTTTACCCACTAAGCCATCTTTTTGGCTCTGAGTGCATTTTGTTTGTAGACTCTTGTCCCATGATTTGATCATTTCTTAGTATATCTTGATTCTTACTGACAGTGTAATAAGTCTATATATGAACATATTGTCCTTTATGGACTGGAGACCGGAAAAACTCTCCAAAAGTTGTTGTTTGCAAATAGTTAAGAATGAGATCTTTTCAAGTTTGCCTCCTTTGCTACATTCCAGTCTACAGGGTTCCAATCTAGTCTTTCATTAATATCCACTTCTGAGGCCTCACCATGTAAGAATACTGACATTAGGAATTAGTTTCCAGAGAGATTAGCCTACACATTTTATCACATGAGGCTTCATTCAATATTATAAGTATTTATGCAAAATTATTAAATAACATAGTATTTCACAGTCATAGTTTATACAAATTTGGCTATTAAGAATACATCGTCGACTCTAGAAAATAATTATAAATAATCTTTTTAACCTAGACAATTGCACAAATTAAACAGATCCAAACTGTCAGCAAATGTAAACCAAGGAAGGTATTTAAAAATGGAAATAATCTTTAAACTCATCACACTAGTGACTGTACACTGCTATTCAATATTGTGTAGGAAATACTTTAAGGGTTTCTTATTTAGAATATCTTTAAGTAGGTCACAACTGGAAACAATTAAGAAATTACTCTGCTGCTACTTTATTTTTCTTAACAGGCATATACCAAAGTCCATTTCTTCCAAATGAAAACAAATGAATTTCAGTAACAGCCAAATGTATGCATTTCTGAGTTGTTCTCTGATATTTCCCTTAATATTGTCATTTTAATTATAAATATAACCCATTTAAGCAGTCACTGAATGTCTTCTATGTACAGGCATTTTTAAACCAAATGAAGAACACACAAGATGAACCTAGCAGTGGTTAGGAAAACATGGTCTATGGACCAAACCTGGCCTACCATCTCTTTTTGTAAAGTTTTATTAAAACACGAGTTCATCAATTTGTCCACTTGGTATCAGTGGTCACTTTTGTCACATATTATAAAGTGTTGAGTAGTTATGATAGAAACATTGTGGCCTGACAAATCAAAAAAAGTCTTGCTATTAGTACTGTAGAAGAAGTTGCTTCAACCTCCACTGAACAGCAAATGCTTGAAGAATTTTCATGTTGATGTTGAAGGTCAACATAAAAATTAGGAATGAAAAGCGATTCTCACGTAATTTGCTCTCATTTAATCTTGGTACTGATTAGTGAGAAGATCAGAGAGGGAATATGTTCTATACTTCCATAGGCAGTTGGCAAAAAAGACATTGATGTTGAGCTAAAGGGACCAGGATGCCCACCTTCATTATGACACGAACTGCAGAGAAAGCATAAAGCAAAGGGCCACTGGAATGTACAATATTTAAGATATTTACTCCTTTAAAGATTCGGGCATTTGAGTTGTGGACTTTGGAAGATTTCTGGCTTATCATATATCTGCCACCATCACAAATTTACTTAATACTGAGGCAGTATTGTAGATATCATTTAAAGGGAGAACATAGAGTCTACATGTTACCTGTGTGCTGTGCTTCAATCCAGACTTGCAAATACATGAAGAGCAGAAGCCCTGCTGTCCCAAACAGCAGGACAGAAAGGAAGACTTGTTTGGGGTTCATGACCACTTCAAATGGCTATGCTTCTCTTCATGTCCGAATCCAAAGATTACATTGTTTATTGCTCCATGGAGTTTCAATTTTTTCTTGGTGTCTTGGGGCTCATTCTTCAAAGCAACCTAGAATTTCAAACAATCCACATTATACATGTCTGGATTTGTGTTCGAATATGGTAAACAAAAGCAAGCGTGTGAACAGCACTGTAGTCTCAAATATGTGGTAACTCACTGAAAGAGGACCCCTGTAGGAAATACTCCAGGAGCAACTTGGTATCTTATCTGTGGAATATTGTGCACTCTTATCCCACCCATAATAAATCCCAGCATGACAATTTATCTAGTAAAAGGTTTGGCAGCATTTAAGCTGTTTCCTGTTGTAAAGAAGGTTTGGTTACTTTAACATGATGGCAAGGCGATGAACAGAAACAGAGTGGATTGCTGATGAATGGAGAATGAGGTTTAGGACATGCTTTCAGGATTTGGGAAACCCCTTCCTATCTTTAGTATCCAAGGACAGCAGGATGCTCAGTCCACTTGGGACAAAGGATACAGTATCCTCATGTAACCATATGCCTCCTCTAGGGTACATTAAAACATCTCTATCTAGGCTATTTACACCTCCTCCCAACATAGCATAAATGCCACGTGAATATCTGCAGCAGGCTACTATCTAGGGAATATGCTTGGGAAAAGGCTTCAGGTTCCTTTCTGATGCAGTTGTTTGTTTTTGAATATTTTGATATGTAGTTGTTTGGATCTGTGAATGAAGTCTGTACACGTTCATTACAGATGCTTGTTTTTGCCAAACATTTTCAATCACACATTTGACGAATCCGTAGATAAGGAGGACTGACTATATACAAATTTCAAAACTGAAAAGTTCAACTTAGCATTTTTCATTCAGGTAAAAATAACAGATTTAAATGATAAATTTACAATTGTTGTGGGGCATAAAAAGCAGAAAAGGCTTGGGTCTAAAAATTCCCTCTCAAAAGAACACAATTAATGAACTTTATTAGAGAGCATAAAAAATCCACCTGGGCAATGAAAGATCACTTTAATATAAAACAAAAGAAAGCCAATTCAAATCAGTTTTTTCTTTGAGCAAACTTACTTTAGTCTTAATTTTGTTCTGTGTCACTCACTTCTGAGAATCTAAAGGAAATGTGACCATTCTTCCTAGAAAACTATGAGCACTCCTAAGAGCCTGTACCCGATGTTGGTGTCTGCATGACTCCCATGAAACTCAAGGGAGGGTCGAGGCTCCCACTGAACCACACCAAACGTCATGGGCCTCACCTGGTGAACAGTCTGACAAATGGGGTCACTGCCAAGACTGTATCTATGACATCCAGAGAGCCTTTTTGGCCACACACCACATTTCCTCTCTGGAAAGGTTTCTTCATTATGAAGACATTGTACACACTGCTATGTCTATTACTCATCTCTTATCCCAAATAGGACTCAAAATCTTTGAGGAGAGTTTTTGAGTGAGAATACTGATATATCTTATTAAAAGGCTAGATTAGTTAGCTTTTTGTTGCTTCGATAAATCACACCAATAAAAAGTGACTTGAATAGGGAAGTATTTATTTCATCTTACATTTGACAGTCCAGTATTGATGGAAGCCAGGACAGGAGCTCAAGGAGGGAGCTGGAGGCACGAATGAAGGAGACTCTACTGAGGAATGCTGCTGAGGTTTGCTTTCCTTAAGGGCTTTCTCACCTTCTATTTTTTTCTCCACTGTTTTACATTTTTTACTAAAATAATCATGTCATTTCCCTATTCTCTTTCCTTAGTCCAACTCCTCCCATACCCCTTAAATTCCTGGCCTCCTTTTTTGTTATTATTACACATTTATATGCATAAATATTTAAATATAGCCTGGTGAGCCCACTTATTCTTTTAATCATGTTTTACTCACATAGTTGTGGGGCACATTCCCAGCATTCCTTTCTCTTTCAACACTGAGACCCAGCACCTGGCCTGGCACCTTTCCTGTTGTCAGTTCCTGAAGCTCTCTTTCTACTTTCTAGTAGCTCAGCTAAATGGAATCATCAGTATTTTGTTGTTTTGTTAAAGATTTATTTTTATTTTGTGTGTGCAAGTGTTTGTCTACATGTACATCTGTGCATCATGCACATGTCTGGTGCTCACAGAGGCCAGAAGATGGCTGAGATCACCTGGAATTGGAATTAAAGACATTGTTAGCCTCCATGTGGATACTGAGAACCAAACTCAGGTCCTCTGCAGAATAGCAAGTGCTATTAACCACTGAACCATTTCTCAATACTGGTCTCTCTTTTCCCTTCTCTTCTCTTCTCTTCTCTTCTCTTCTCTTCTTTTCTCTTCTCTTCTTGACAATAATACAAGTGATCTGCGAGCCACATTTGGAATAATGGCATGAGATAATGTCAGGAAAACTGTTTTGAACAGCCCCTCTCTTCCCTTCCCTTACCTTCCTTCTTTCTTTCTCTCCTTCCCTCCCCCTCTGTCTTCCTTCCTTCTTTCTTTTTTGTGATTGATTTTTGTGTCAATTAGCACAATGCTGCAAAGGTTTGTTCAGATTGTAGTTTGTTCCAAAATTCTAGTTTAAGGACAAAAAGAATTTGATAATTTGGGTTACCACAACTTGTTTGCCCACTCACCTCTCAATGGACGCTAGGGTGGAGTCCACTGTAAGGTTACTGTGATAACCTCTGTGAAGATGAGGTACATGTATCCCATTCAGAGCCTCTTTTCAGTACTGCTTCTCAGCACATTTCCAGAAATTCTAACTTCTGGGTCACACAGTAATGCTATTGTGGAGTTGTGAAGTTTTGAGGAAGCCATGGTGGTTCTTCCACTTTTTATTCCTGCTAACATTGTGCCATGTTTCAGTTTCTTTAAGTTCTCGTTCTTTTCTTTTTTGGTCTGGCTTTTTTGTTGTTGCTGTTGTTTGTGTGTGTGTGTGTGTGTGTGTGTGTGTGTGTGTGTGGTTTGTTTTTAGTTAGTGTCTTACTATGTAGGTCAGGCTGTCATTGAACTCATGATCCTCCTGCCTCAGTCTCCCAAGTACTAGGACTACAGGTGTGGCCTACCATGTTGTGCTCAGATTTTTTTATATGCTTACTAATGCTCATTCATTTGTCTTCAGTTTTCACTTGTTTTTAGTAATTGTAAACCTAATGAATGTGAGATAGTATGGATATAATTTTCATTTTCTTAATGAGTAGAGATTTTGAGCATTTTTGTGTGTCTCTTGACTGTTTGTATGGAAAAATTATTTATAGAAATTCTTTGTTCATTTTATTTTATTTATGTTTCAAGGACTCCTCCTCAATTTCTTGCATTCTGACACACTCCAGGACCACCTGTCCTGGGGTGGAACCACCAACAGTGGTTTGGGCCCTCCCATATCAATCATTAATCAAGAAAATTCATATAGATACATCCACAGGCCAATCTGATGGAGGCAAGTCCTCACCTGGAGTTCCTTCTTCCCAGGCAACTCTAGCTTATGTCTAGTTAAAAGTTAAAAACTGCTATGAGTAATTGTAGGACCAGTCAAATGATAGTATTTAGAAATATTTTTTACTCTCTTTCTCTCTTCCTTTCCTTCTAGTAGTATTTCATTATATAATCCAGTTAAACTCTGGTTTCTTCTGTGTCCACCTTCCAAGTACTGAGATTAGATGTGTATCACCACATGTAGCTTAGTCATTGTTAGGAAACCAGGTTTTACACAGAACTTGGCTTCAAATATACTATAAGGTCAGATTTCATGGGGGATGTATAAGGTATTTAGAATGATTATTTGATTAGCAAGAAAGTATGCACAAACAGAAAAAATCCACCACAAGCATTCATTTTATTTACGTTTTAATTGTAATTCTGAGAGGGCCAGAATTGTAATTATAATTCTGAGAGAACCAGCCATGGTTGTTAGCATCTCCAGTCACTTGTTCAAACCAGCTTTTCTCAGTTCCCTAAGGAGTGGCAACTCAGTGATTTTACCAGCTCTTGGGGGGATTTTTAGTGTTTTGATTGTGGCAAGAAAGCAAGTTTTAAAGATGCCAAAAGTCTGCTGAGTTGAGGGCTAATATGTTGCACCTATATTGAATGAAATCTAAATATACATGGGTACTTCAGGCATCTGCAGCAAAGAACAACTTCCATGGGAAACTGAGACGAAGCTAGCTTTCTCCTCCTTTGCTAACTTCAGTTAAACAATGAACTAACATATGTCCTGTGTATATAAGAAGATGCAGATAGGAGGAAAACAGTTAAAACAAATCTAGTACTAACAAAGAAATCATTGTTTACAAGAAGAAATAGACTTTTACAACCTATCCACATTTTTAAACTCATCTCACATGAGGAAAGATAGAAAGATAACTTAAGAAATGACAGTGGTGTCACAAACCCACGGGATGGTGGTGTGAGAGTCCACAAAAGCACCGCTTGGGGGGTTGCAGAGGAAAATTATTACCTACAATGCTGGAAATAGATTAAGGATTGCCCTGATTTTTTTTTCCCAGAGGTGTTGCTATCCTCTCCTCCTGGGGGAGGAGGCAGCAGAAGAGCCATAATTGTTATTATGGCAGATGTGGGGAGGACTTAGTGATTAAAGCCACAAGGCAGAAAGGCAATCTGGTGTAAAGCAGAGAGATCCGTTTGTTTTTCCTTCATCTCAGCCCATTAACCCAACGTTGGCACGAGGAAACGGCTCTCATTAAACACAGGTGAGGTGGTGAGAACAACTGTTTTGCTTTAAGCAAACCTGAAGGTCAGTCGTGATGGGAACATGCACCTATTTGGAGATCATATATCTACCTCCAAGCCTGCAGGAAAAAGTGTAGACTGTTGGAAACTGAAATTACTTACGAAGAATTGTACTTGTTTATGTGCAAGCACTCAGTGACATTTCTACAGCTTAAGGTTTCCTGGGCTTTGCAAAGTCCCTTCTATTCCCACTTGCAGACACAATACCTTCAATTTAATGATACCTAAAACTTGTTGATTTGAAGTCC